TTTGAAATCGACTTAAGTTTGCTTCAGTTATGGACTTTGGAAGTTCAGTTGTGAGTTGTCATAATCTTAATATAACTCACATGAAAATGGGTCAACATTTTGATCATCGTTAAAATGAAAAATTTGAATACAGGTTTTTAGGGAATTGAACCACAAGTCTTTAGAGGTATGCTTCTTCAAAATCGACTTATGTTTTAAAGTTATGGATTCTGGAAATCCAGTTGTGGGTGACCTTTTTTACAAGATGTCATAATCGTTAAAATAACTAACATGAAAATGGGTCAAAATTTTTATCAACGTTAAAATGAAAATTTTGAATGCAGATTTTCAGAGAATCGAACTACAAGTCTTTAGAGATATCCCACTTTGAAATCGACTTAAGTTTCGTAAAGTTATGGACTTTGAAAGTCCAGTTGTGTGTGACCTTTTTTACAAGATGTCATAATCGTTAAAATAACTAACATGAAAATGGGTCAAAATTTTGATCAACGTTAAAATGAAAATTTTGAATGCAGATTTTCGGAGAATCGAACCACGAGTCGTTAGAGGTATGTCACTTTGAAATCGACTTAAGTTTGAAGAAGTTAAGGACTATGGAAGTCCATATTTGTCATATTTGTTTAGGTCAACAAAAATATCAAACAATAAAAAATATATTTATCATGTAAATAAGTAGAATCAAATGAATATTTTTGTACATGTCTTCGTTGGTGTTACAGATAAATTTGATTCAGTTTTAATGTTTTTTTAGCTATATCATAGCGAATGAACCAATGTTAGCTGAGTCCCTTGTTTTTTTATGGGGCCCAACCTTTTTGATGTCGTTTGTTTTTTAAGGGGGACGAACTGCGATCAACAGGACCCGACCGTTATGTTTAATTGCTGCTCACCGTAAAGTTTGCTCTATAAACATTTTAACTAGGTCCATAAACAGACTAATAGACGCCATCAAGTCGTTTGCATGATTTATGCTTTCCGGTGTGCTTTTTTTTGTTGCCCCCCTTCGTGACGTTAACAATCTATATAGAGGATACATAAAAAGGCTGTAAAAAGGCAAGACAGACATGTGGGTCCGTACGGGGACATAAACCGATGCAGTAATTGAGGCGGGCCATTGTTCCAACTCCCCGATGGCGCTTAATCAATACCCGAAATACCCGAAATGAGAGCAACCAGAGCTGGAGGAACATATATGTATCGCATATCAAGGAATAGGCACAGGAATAGCAATGCAATATAAATATTTGACGTGCGAGAACGCCTGCCTCCAAAGTGAGTTGTTTAGCAGGCGACATAACAATTGCAGATTTGCTGAAATTGCTTTTACCGGCTGCAGACACATATATACGTATACCACCCAATCACCAAGAAGTGCGTATGTCCTCGTCAATGTGTTGTAATCAAATGGAACTTGACGTTGGAATTGCGCAAATTGCGATTTTATGTAGGCTGTCGATTTGTTCCTTTTCACACACACACACACGTTTCACCTTCTCACTTCCTCTCATTTGGCTCTACAGTGGAGCCTGGAAAAGCAAACTGTTGTTAACTTGTGTCTAGAAGGACCTCTCCTTGAGACGGAAAGTGTGTTTTGGGAGAGCTTTAATTTAATTGGCCTCAGGTTTAATTTTATTGCCTAGGAAACACTCTCAAAGTGAAGTGTGATTATGTAGATTTTCGGTAAGTAGTGAAATAATATCTTTAAAAAGGTATAACGATAAAGGTTATATTTTACGAGTTTAATCGCATAAGTCATGCCTTCCTTGTGTTAGGCTTAAAAAGTGCTAGTTTATGATAACAAGGAATTTGGAGAAATAGCAATAAAATGTACACCAAGAAAATAAAGTGACCTAAATTTTAGGCTTAAGAAATTACCAGGTATACCAAGAAAATAAAGTGAGCAAATTTTAGTAAAAATAAACCAAGCCAAACCATTTATTAACTTTAGTGCTAGTATTGTTAAAATTGTATACATACTTTTAAAACCATTTTAATTTTTTCAGCTTGAGTATTCTCTGATTTTTTTTAAAACATAATTCATTAAAAATTGAAGTGCCAATAAAATACGATTATAAATATGTAATATTATAAATTATGTAAACTATTTAAGTATTTATAGAGAATGTATATTTCAGGGAGAAGCAGAACAGCCATGAAAGAGTGCAATATATTAATAATTTATACATTTCAATGACCTTTTACTGTGCTAGTCCCCACTGTACATCCTTGCGGCCAAAACTTGAGAAGCACATCTGTCAAATGGTTATGCGGTCTTTGTTCTAGGCTGGCCTCCTCCGACAGCCGACTCCTCCCCGAAAATTAGCGCCCGGCCTTTCAAATTGAAAACGTGAACCATGCGGTTCATTGGTAATTCATTTATGCGCACATTTGCCAGGATACCACTACCCCAGTCCCTCCACTGGGTGGATGTGGGTGGTTATACATAGGTGACTGAGATGGCTGAATGGCTCGACGACCAGGTCCTTTTGCAGCTGCAGGTGTTTCGCATAAGAAATGGGCTGCTCGGCTGCCGTCGATAGCAGGCGCACACCATCGGCATTAGATGTAATTTATACTTTTCGCCAGTCGCCACCACGCACGACTTGACGTCATGATAATGTATCGAATTCATTTTCCAGTTACTTTGCTTGCCAGTGTCTGGGAGAACCTGCAGCGTTTTGTTTGGCAAACATCACAAAACGCTTTCGACACATTCCCCATTCATACTCAATTACCTACGTGGGTTGCTAGCCAGTTGCACGTGGCCAAGTTTTTTGTCCGTGGAGTGTTGGCACAGCTCGGTAGTTCGCTTCACTCCACTTCACTTGGCTCCTCCTTAATTTTATTTCTATTTCTGTTTTTTTTTTTTGGTTTTTGCTGTTTCGCCAGCTTTTTCCTGTGTGTTTGAGTTTCTGGGCAGGCCAACAACGTTCAATGACTTGGCCAGAACGGAAAGTTTGCTGCAAATATTTGACCAGTGGCCAGACCCATCCTTCGGGCGGTGCAATTATTTATTTGATTTCATTTTACGTTAGCCAAACAGTGGCCAAAAGTTCTGCTCAAATATGCAATTTCTATGCACACGAGACTTAAAAATATTCATATTAAAATTACTCCTCTATATAAAGTGTCAGCGACTCGTAAATTTTACTTTGTGTAATTTACAGAGTTGCGAATTGAAATCGGAATTGCAATTGGGCAATGCTAACTGAATTGAAGTGTGGCAATGGCAAATACACAATATTTAGTTGCGGCCTTTTCCGCTAAATCAATCATAATCAATATTTAAATTGGTGAAATGGGTGAAATTTTTTGTTAGAAAGCTCACCAAAGCGACTGGAAATAACAAATTTGTGAATGTTGCACTGAATTCCGGCACTAGCAGGTGGAATTTTTTCGTTTTTCTTTTTAATTTGACCGCCGTCGAACAGGGAAATGCACTTAGAGCAAATTGATTGATTGACGGATGGATTGATCACTATTAGCGTAGCCCAAGTGAAAGCGATGCTTATTTGTCTTGTGTTATTTCTACAATTTTAGATGGGTTTTTTCCCACGAAATGATCGCTGGCTATTTTTAAACTCTTTCGACATATTGGCGTAATTCAATTGAAAATGTTGTGCATGTCGGATGCAGAAGTCAGCCCAAAATCGCTAAAAAATTGCCACCATTTGTTGGTGTTGAACCAAATGACCAAAAGCACGACGTTCGATGTTTATTTGGTCGCACTTTAATTATTTTTACGCCCACCTGACTGCTGCCACGCCCTAAACGGAAATTGCATAGTGTCGCTATCGCTGTTGCCGCCTTTTTGTTTTATTTTAATTGAATTTTGAAATATGTCCACGCCCGTCGCTTATTTTTTTCGATTTACTTGTTTTTCCGTTTTCCCGTTTCACTCGCTGTACCAAAAATGCAATTAATTCGAGCACTTTTTGAATTGTTCCAATGACCCTTCTCCTCGGGAGTTATTTGTTGCCATTTCTGCAATAAATTCCCGATGCTTTAAAAATAAATCAAATGCATTAAGGGCTCCGCTTTGCCCCTCACTGCTCTTTGACAATTGTTAATTAAATCAGTTTTTGGTTTTGCCAATTGAAATTTAATCCATTCACATTTAAATTGTGTTAATCTCGCGCTGAAAACTATTTTCAAATGCTAGGGGCACGTGCCTCGTACTTAATTTGTCGAATAAACTCGTTGATATGACCACTTGCTGTTGAAATATAATTTTGGTTGCTGTGGTAACATATTTTTGCATAATATTTCGACATATACAGCATTTTAAGCCCAGCTTCAGGGCAGTTTAGAGCCCAAGTTCAGAGCATTTTAGAGCACAGGTTCAGAGCAATTTAGAGCCCAGTTCAGTTACATTCAGCTTGGCGCAAACCCAAAACGTTTTAAGGACTATTAGATTTAGCAATAAGTGCTGCAATTTTGAACATAACCCAAGAAAAACTAATTGTTGACAAGACAACTTGTTGAGACTTTCCCAGGGGGCTAAGACCCAAAGCTGTTTCACTGTTCTCTCAAAAAAGAAAAGCTTAAACTATTTCTTTGGTAAGCCAAGTAAAAGCCGATTTAAGTTTCTCTTAAACTTTCTGCAGTTTATTGAATTTTTCCCCTTTGGTGAGTACACATTTGTTCATTTATTTAGACCACTTTTGTTGTGATGGATGCAAGCGTAAACTTTTCATTGGTCAAGGCCCGCCAGGCGTATACGCAATATTGTTACATTTAATGAAATATACCCGTCCGGGCATAACTTTGTGCAGCAGTTGGCCAAACTAATTGTTAATTGAAACAAAAATGCCAAGCTGGAGCGGACAATTAAGGGGCCAAAAAGGAAAGGAATCGCCGCCAAACAAATGCCAACAATTAACTGCGGCAACAATATGGCAGAAAGCGGAACGCCCGAGGCTTTTTGAATGGCTGGTTGGACGGGGCTGTTGCGATGGTTTAAGGAGATGGGTTGAAGGGCTGCCAGTATGGGTACCTACCGCTCATCACAATCACGACGAGAAGCAGCAGCCAGGCCACGCAGAGCCGGAGTGGTTGGGCACTGGGCATGGTGACTCCGGGCATGGTGGAAATGGCGGCGACAGGAACAAGATGCGGAAATGCAGTAAGCCCCCGCGTAGCAGCCTCAGACCTTGTTTTTGTTGCCTGTCTGTGGGATGCTGAATGCTGGATGGTGGCTCCTAGTCTTCGTCCTGTGTCTCTAGGCTGGCAGCAATAACCAAGTTAGCAGCCTCATCATCAGCATGGGCGGCAACAGCTCCTGCAGCAGCAACGTCATTATCGAGCCTCCCGGCTCTCTATTAACTTGGCCTGGCAATTGGCCAACTCCAACTCCTCCTCCTCCTTTCTCTCCACCTCCCCCGCAGGCAGACAAAGGCAACTTAGCCGCCGTTTGGCTCTTCTATTTGCCGCTTCTGTTTTATGCCGTCGTACACGAAATGTGGCCTGTAAAGAGCAGAGCGGAGCAGAGCATTACGATCTGTTGGTTGGACTGACGCGAAAGTTATTGCAACTGACAAAGCTGGCTAAATGGTAAAAGGGGGTTCTGTGGGGCTCAAGAAACCGCCCACCCTCCCCCCAAACTCAAATGCACTCATTGGCAGACTTTCGAGCAGCTTCTTCCGCTTCTCCTGCTGCAAAAAAATCAAAAACGACAACGGAAATAAGCAAAATGATAATGGAACATGCCGCCTGCATAATGATGACTGTGCAGTGGGTTAAAACGTAAAATAAAAGACAGAAATATCATTTATTGAATAATAAGCTTAACTCATTGTTTGTTTGGGTGGAATTAAAAAGAGTTATGTGATCATAAAACATGTAAACTTTGTAAGATTGAATAAAAGTGCAATTTATTTAATAAAAGAATTATTTTATATTAATTTTATTTCAATGTAAAATCGTTGGTTTAACCAGACAGTAGTACACAAATACACTACATTTTCTAAAACTAATAATTATATTATTATTTTTAAATACTTGTTCTGCCTTTGCATGAAATAGCTTTTAACAACCTTAACTTTTAGTAAAGTACATATATTTCCATAATTTTGACATGAATTTGAAATTACAGAAAATGTGGATATTTCTATCCAATATTTATTAACAATTAGATGAAAAATATAATTTTCAAGGATAATATTTTAATCTTTAAACCATAACAAGTATATTGCACTTTTGAGTTGAAAATCTCCGTTTTATCCCAAAGTATTTATCATTCCTCCCACCGTTCCTGCAGTCAGAGGTACATTTTGGTTTTCATTTTTCCCTTACTTAAAATTTCGGCCGAGCCACGTGCTCAATCTCTGGCAGCAACTTGGGAATTTAATTTGCTAAATATAATTTTTTCTCTTTTTTTCCGCTCCCCCAGACAGCCGACTGGCAGGGCTGGAAAGTTTAAACAGTAATTAACTTAATTGCCTGTCTGGCAGGCAGCTTAGTTGTGTCCCGATCTGCTTAAATTTGCTTAACTGAAGTCGGGACTGGACTGGCGGCACTATATAACTACAACTACTCTTTATTCTGACGCGCTATAATTATTGCCTGCCAGTGGGGATGATCGATTCATTGGCATTAATGTCATAATAATGGCAGTAGCAGGCACATTTATTACGCATACGCAGTGTGCACACGCCTTAATATGCAAGAGAAATTTCGATTTTTGCACATTTATCTACACACAAAAATTTTTTCCGGCACTCGTTGCCATTATTCGTAAGGAGGGGAAAGGAGGGCTTCATAATTCTAATGCATGGATATTATGTGCCATAGTCTGCACATGCAAATTACCGCTACAGCGAACAGCCATATAGGGTCCTATATCATCCCGCCCACTTCCAACTTTTGCCCCCTTCCCGCACTTATTGTTAGGAAACGGAAAGAAGGCAGAAAGGCAAAAAAAAAGCCATTTTTGCTATTATTGTTAGCTATCGGTTGTGCACGGTAAAAAATGTATGGTCAAGTTGTAACTTAAATAAGAATAACTAACTTAAATGTTTAAAATATCATTTGTAATACTGAAATGACCTTTATGATAATTTTTTGATGAAGTACATTTTCAAAAATGTATTCAATTTTTCAACATTTTTTTCTGTGCAGCAACGTGTGTGCTTTCTCTTTTATACAGACATGCCAGACTTCAGACTTTGGAAAGCAATTTGCCACGCACTGTCAGTGAAGTTGAACGCAGTGGAACGATTCTAATTTTCAGCTACGAAAAATGTATACAATAAAAGCGCTGGCTAACCAAAAAGAAAACAGCGAGCTGCCAAAATTTACATAAAAACACATATTCACACAAACAGCAGGACTACATTCACAGATGCACAATGTAAATTGTACAAAGATTTGCTTTTGCTTTTACGTGTCTCGTGAAAGTATTCTTCTTCCTTCCGTTTCCATTATCATTAAAATTTCTTTGCGGCCACGATGAGCTTTAAAATTACTGATGCAAATGAAACTAAATGGTTTTTGAATAATTGAGTAAGATGAACAGCTTTTAAGGTTGTTTAAAAACAACATTGCATGTTAAATATTTTCTAATATATATATATATATATATATATGAGTTCAGTAAATAACCTAACTAAGGCGTTCGTGAAAAGCATTTATTTTCAATGTATTTCAAAAAATTTATTAAAAATATATTTTAATTTAATAATTTACATTAGTAAATTGTGTCTAAATTCAATTATTCTTTATTAATAATGATCTTTACTATTAATTAGATAAAACTATTTAAATGTGCTTCTTATAACTATAGTTATTATATTTCTAGATAAACAGTGTTAAAATATGATAAGCCCCTTATTGTTCGTCAAAGCCTAGTAATATTTTGATCTTCCGATTGTTAACAACCTTAAGCCTAAGCCAATGGGTCGGGAACCTAAGCCGTTGGATTACAAATCCCACCAAATCGTGTCTCATTTTTCTTTCCGTTTCCCTTATAATTACTCGCAAGCAGGCGAACCGCCGAAAAGCAGCAAAATCGTCTACAAAATGTATATAACATTATAAAGCAATTTGCAGTAAATCACCCAAAGCGACGCGCGTGTTTATAAATCACGAGCAGCCCAAGAGCCTCGCTAAATTTTTTTTATATATTTCGGGGTATCCCGCTGCTGTAGCAAACCAAAATCGAAATGAATAATTAATATGTCGCGCCTGCCGCAGACGGAGAAAGTCTTCCATCTTGTGACTTCCATCACGAAAGAAGAAAGCAATTCCAGGCCGAAAACAAAACAAAGTTAGCAGACCAACAAAGCGAGTGGCTCATATGAATCCCTGCGGCGTCTGGGCCGAAAAACGGAGAGAATTGGGCCAAAGTCGAGATGGCAAAAAACGCTCGACGAGATTGACAAATTTGCCACAGCAAATGAAATGCTTGACTCGGCTACGACTGCTAAATTTTTCATTTATGACAATGTTTACGTAATTCGACAGCCAAAACAATTTCACAGGCCCCAGAGTCCATACCCCATGCCCCATACCATCCATACGCAAATGGGCGCTCATTTATTGTCATCCCCGGAAAAAGGGAAAACTCTTCGATGTGGAGGAAAACCCATTCCGCCCAGCGGTTGTCTGTTGTGTCTGCTGGAAAAGTCAGGACACCGGCTGTTACGAGCTGCAGCAATGGCTTTTAAACCGTTTTAAATGGCCGGCGATTTGTTTGAATGTTGTGACATAAAACTGCAATCTATGGGCCCATTCCTGAAGGAAACCAAGGTGAGCGGGCCAGGAAAATCTGTCTAAATAGCTCCATCGACCAGGAACAGCAAGCCGATTCTGCAGTCCATTTGCCAAAGTATCCTACTGTAAAGGACCTCGGGGTGGATGGCAGTGCCTCAATAATCAAAGATCTTGTGCAAATTGAGAGTAACAGCTTAAGGATTAAGTCCAAAGGGGATTGAAAATGCGGCAAGGACTTAAAATGCAGAACAAAAGGAGCAGAGACCACAATTGCTCGGTTGCTTTGATATATATAGGCCTCGTAATCGTTTGAATAAGATTTGCTATGTGATAAATAGTAAAATATGGGAAGAAAATGGCCTCTTATTCAAATCCCAAGCTTTTCTGATAGTAAAGTAGTTAAACACGTTTTATAATTCAGAAAACAGAGTAAAAAGTATTTTAAAGGTATAACAATTATTTTTAAATTTTGAATTTAAAATTTCTATTTAAATTCTATTACTATATTTAAGTGATAATAACATTATTTATTAATTATTTAAGCTTTGTTTTACCAAACATTAACCACAAATCAATTTTTTCTTTTTTTTTATGGCAATATAATCCAAAATTCTTCTCACTGCTACTAATAAATCAGTTTTACTTTGTTCTAATTTTCCACGAACTCAATCACTTTGAGCAATCACTATTATCTGTGCAAAAACTCAGGCTTTCCGAAAAGGGCTCGTTTTTGGGACAACTCGAGACTTAATTTGCATGCTCGAGGAGTACAACATCCATCCGTCAGATAAAATCCTAGTTGGACTACGACAATTTCCCACTCGACTAGCTCGTTATCCCTCGTCAAACTTTATGATAATTATGCAAATTAAGCGCAGCTCCTAATTGAAATCGACAACAATGGGTTCTCCATGACCTTGGCACCGAGTCATTAGTCAAACCATTGCAATTGACAAGCAGCCAGTGACCCCCAAAAAATGGGCGGACAAATGTTGAAAACATAAGAACACAACAAAAAAAATATGAGAAAATTATTGTTTTGTTTGTGGGGGCAGTGTTCAGCAGTGAAAGCCTTGCGCTTCACGGCATATTAAGCAAAATGAATAAATTACAATTGCAAATAGGCAATTTCCTACACTTCCTTCCTTTCGACATTTCACTGTGCAGTGGCACACACAGTAGGTCGGTTGAGTTTTGCGGTGGCTGTCAACTTTTTGGGCGGTATTTCTGGTCTAAATAACGTCTAATTTGCAATTTTGTTTAATTGTTTGTGGCTTTGGATTTTGACATGATGCCGCTCAAACCACTGCCACCACGCCTCCTCTAATTTTTGGCCATGGCGTGCGGCTGGATCGTAACTGATTGTTTGTGTTTTGCGTTATTTGGGGTTTTTAGTTTGGGTCAACGTCAATGAACAAAGGCACGCACCAGTCAAAACCCCCTACAAAGAAAACCCACTTCCGCTCGAGCTCATCCAGCTGGCCGCATGTCTTGGCCAAATTATAATAAAAGGTTTCCATCGCGACCACTCGAATATCGAGTCTGCCCTTTGAGCAATTAAAGTCAGGCGAGTAGACAAAGGATCGCGGTCTCATATAATTGCTATGGCAGCGGGCAGAAATTATTCAGTTTGAAAGGGATAGTTCACAGTCAATTTGTCAATGGAAATGCAGAAATGGTTATGAGCTTAAATTTGAAGTTAGACGACTTGGGGGCTTTCGATTTGTAAGGAAATTACCGACATGTGCGGCTTA